GCAATGAGAGAATATCACCTCCTGCCCCCCTAACTGGTGGCCATTGAGGACTACTTTCGGGACAGGCAGCTGGAGCTTTCCACAACAAGCAGGGACTCCAGCAACGGAGGGATACGTCGTGCGGCGTTCCACAGGGATCCGTGCTGGGCCCCCTACTCTGGAACGTCGCATACGACTCCGTTCTCCGCGCGGCTGTCACGTCATCTACTATGCAAACACGCTGGTGGTTGCCGGGGGCGCGGAAAGGGGACCTGGGAAAGAGCCGTGTGTGCGGCGAACGTCGCAGTGGCGTGCATGGTCGGCTCCATAAGGGAGTTGGGCCTGAGAGTAGTCCCCGCCAAAACGGAAGCCATTTTCTTCCATGATGGGAAGAGCAGGGTGCTCGGGCACAAATTATGGTGGATGAAGTCCGCGTCCCGGTGGAGCTCACCATCAAGTATTTGGGCCTCACCTTGGATGGTCGCTAGGGTTTCATTTTGGGTGGCGGGGGCCGGGATCTCCAACTCCCCCCCCTAACAACAACGGGAGGGCGGGCGCGGGGGTGGTGTCCCTCCAGCGCCCGATTCGGGCAGTCCGTGCCACGCGCCGCCCGGGGCCGTTTCTCCGACAAAACCCCGGGCGGGATCGATTCGGCAACAGCCGACTGACCAGAAGGGCTCCCAGAAGTATGCTGCACGCGTTCCTGGGAACCTCTCAGCTATAGCCCGTTCAGGACACCAGAAGAGGTTTTAGTGGATGCAAGCCCCATATAACTCCGGACTCTCCCCCGAGGCCCGGGGTATGCGTTAGACATTTCCCCTCCGATATAAAAAAAAAAAAAAAGACGTAAATAAAGTCCGAAGGTGGAAAGATCATTTAATTCCCTTTATTTTTTTCTTGAGACTATTTTGACATATCTCTCACCTATGTTGAACTATAGTGTAAAAATGCTTTTTCTGATTCGATTTGGAACTATTGGTTCCAAATCGGACTATTCTCTAGTCCAAATTAAACACTCTTATTTTTATGGAGTTACTATACTAGGGAATTATTTTTTTTCTATCTTTTAGATAGAATTTTAAAATATTTCAATACATTTTTGTTAATAAAAACAATTGAATAAAAACGAGCAATTTAACAGTCGAAGATAAAAATTTTATTCAGAAAAAAAAATTACTGACAATTTATATTTTTTATTAGAATTAAAATCAATAAAACTCGATTAATCTCTGAGTCTAATGACATTTTATTGATTTAATTCCTTGGACCAGATCTAGTCGGCCGATCACCAGTACTACAATCAGGTCTATACGTTACCTATCTCGCAGGGGGTGGGATCATCTCTGATGCGTTCCGGTATCCCCGGACGCATCTTGATATGATTCCACTACGGGTTTAGCGAACCCGCGGTGCCTGAGCTCTCGTAATCTCTCTCCTTGCATCACTGGGAGAGACCGAGCGTCCGAGATTGCACCTAACTTCTCGGACGACGAGCTGGGCCTTCTATAAAAGGTCCCCCTATCCCGTGGTAGTGGTGCGCGGCCACGGGATGAATGGGTGGTGGGTAAACCACCCAACAGCGGCCTAGTGAGGGGGAACTGGGTTTTATCCCAGCAAGTGAGGGGCGACCTTAGATACTACGCCTTTGCTTTGGGAGTGTCGCTGATCCGGTGCTCTCTTCGCGCGCGGCGCGGTATGTGGTGCGTGAACTGTGGCGGGATTTTCGACGCTTCAACATCGATGTGTGGGTGAGCTTCCCTCTAGTGGGGAGTTTTGCTGTGCGTTCTTCCCTACATCGATGTGGCGGCTACTACCTTGACGTCGAGGGAGTTTGGAGACGAACCTGGGAGTTGGTCGGCGTGCTCCTCGGCCGTACTATTACGCCGACAACTATTAAATAATGACATGGACACCGGAAATGATATTAAACGCCTGGGCTTCGGGACCCAGGACCGGCTGACCGGGGGTGTTGTCCCTGCCCCCGGCATGTCGTCATCGAGTGATGGGCTGACTGCAGGGTTGCCGACGGGCCCTGCAGTGGAATCTGCTACCGTCCGGATGGAAGTTGTGGAGGAGGTTATGGGTGCGGAGGAACCCGCACTCCCTGGGCCTAAGGAGAGGGCGGAGCCCGGAGCTGTCTCGCAGTCTCCGCTGCCGCAGAGGAGAAAGGAGCTGCGGCTGATCCTGGACCGCACGGAGGTTGACGTTCTTGCGGGTGCTTCGGCCGAGGACTCGGTGGCCTCTGGGTCTGCCTCCCCGGATGGAGTCCTGCGTCGCAAGAGGGGGCGTCTGAGGAAAAAAAGATACCCGAAGGAAATGCGGATAAGGGTTGTGGCGGGCGAGATTGTCAACTCCCCTGTTGCCGATAGTGGGTCGGCTGGTACGCCGGCTCCTGGCGGCGTTGGCCTGAACAGGGACATGGGCGTAGTGGACCTTACTCTGCCGGCATGCAGTGACGCTGGAAGGGTCGTAGATCGCGCGAGTCCGCGGAGTGATAGCGTCTCGCTTGGATCTACTCCGGTGGAGGACGTTGGGGATCTCTCCTCGTCCTTCGAGCAGATCCCGTACAAGGGCAAGAAGAGGGGACGCAAACTGAAGGAAGTTGACTTTACTCTGCTGGCAAGTAGTGACGCTGGAAGGGTCGTAGATCGCGCGGGTCCGCGGAGTGATAGCGCCTCGCTTGGATCTACTCCGGTGGAGGACGCGGGGGATCTCTCCTCGTCCTTCGAGCAGATCCCGTATAAGGGCAAGAAGAGGGGACGTAAGCTGAAGGGCAGTAATGCCCCTGGCTCTCACGCTTTGACGAAAATATCGTCGAAGTGGCTGGAGCTGGAGGACGATGAATGGGACAGGGAAGACTTCTTCAAAGTCTCGAAGAAGGGATCGCCCAGTTTGAAGAAGAGGAAGGGCTTAGTCGAGTGCAGGTTGGACGACAGGCTCTCCTCAAGCCAGAAGACCGCTGTCGAGGTCACGGGCCTGTTTCCGCAGATGTCGCCGAAGTCGGTGGTTGCGGAGACGTTACGTGTCCTGGACATCGCTGGGGAGGCCGAGAGGAGGACAGTGTCTATGAATGGTGCTCTCCGTAGGCAAATTAAGGTAGGTGTTAACGTGGCAAAGATTGCGGTACAGCGACTTGTAGCTGACATCACCAAGTGCTCGGGTCCGTCGGACGAGGTCAGAGCTAATAACCTCGCCCTGGAGAGGGAGGTTATTAAGCTTCGCCGCGAGATGGATATTCTGCGTCGGGAAAAGATCTCCTTAAGGGACCAGGTGGAGTCCCTTAGGCTAACGGTGCAATCGTTGAGGGATGGGGATTGTGGTAGGGATCGCTCTCCCTCTTCGGAGGGGACTGTGTCTAGGCACGATTTCCCTGTGTCGCGCCGCTCTCGGGATTGCGGGAGACGCTCCTTGCGGCGACGGGACTATGTCGCGGATAAGGAGACACGCGGAACTGGAGATCTACCTCCTGCTTATAGGCCACCTCTTGGGGGGGTCCGTAAGAGACTGGAGGATGTGTTTCCCCGGCTGCATAAAGCTGGCAGGGTGGGTCAAATGGACTCGTCGCGGGTCGTCTCGGACGTCCGTAGGGACTCGCGCGTGGACAAAGTGAATGTGAGAGATGTGGACGAAGTGAGGCCTACGGGGGCTGTTTGTGCGGAGCCTTCGCCGCCTTCGCTGACGTACCTCGCAAATGGTGAGCCATGGACGGTAGTGGGCTCCAAGCGTGCGCGCAAAAGGAGGAACAGAAAAGGGAAGAAAGACGCTATGGTCGGTAAGCCAGCAGACTCTAGTGCGATGCCACCCCCCTCGACTGGGGTTGGTGATACGCGCCGCGTGGCTGCCGGTGGGGTAGCGAAAACCATTCGCGGTTCATATGCTGCTGTTGCGGGTGTGGGTCCGAGAGTGGGAAAGGTACGGGTATATCTCGCCCTACACAGGTCTTGAAGGGTATACCGCGTCGCCCTGCTGCGAAGGAGACTCGCTTTCGTGCTCCCAAGACTGCGGCGGTCTTAGTGAAGTGCGCGGAGACGGGGGACAATGCTGCACCGTCGTACGCGGAAGTGGTTAGGTTGGCGAGAGGGAAGATTTCCCTCGAGGAATTAAATATAGCCAACACGAGGATCCGGAGGGCTCAAGCGGGAGGTCTCCTCATTGATATTCCTGGAGGCGAGGAGGCGGGAGCCAAGGCACAGGCGCTGGTGGATCGCCTTAAGGCTTGTACTGGCTGAGAGCGAGTACAAGGACAAAGTG